GTTCGTGTGCTATTCTATTCGAAGTTGTTCTATTTCGGGGATTGGTATTGTGCGAATTCTGGAATCCTATTTCGAATACTATTTCAAATACTACAACCTCTTAGCGAGTGACTCTATTACATCCGTTACTTTGAAGAACCTACGAATCCACTACCCTGGTTGCTTACCAAGTTGAATTGGAAGTAAATACTTACGAGTTTATAATCACTCTTCCCTCACAACAGAAGAAACCGGAAAGCANGGAAAGCATTGACATCGTTTCATACTCACCTATAATTAGGTGATACCCAGTTTTGCATCTGACGTACTTTTCAGCGTGTTAAACAATCACCTTTTGATACTTCCAGCATATAATGATTTACTCAACTCCACAACTATCGCTGCTCCCCAATGACCACTCCATGCCCATTGTGAGCTCGTGAACTCGCACCAACTATTGAACGTTTTCCCCCACTTCAAATCCTCCCAATATCTGTCATACAGCAAATTCCTCGTTATCTCCACTGTAATCATGACTGCAAATAACTGCTGGATTAGCAGTTCCTCCTCATCACCTGTGATATCATTATCTTTATCGTACCGTCTCTCCGGGAGTTGGTCGCCCGGAGATAACGTCACCGAATCATCACCCCGAGGATGTGCGTTCGAAGCCCACCATCACTGTTGGACTTCCCCCACTGTGTGTTCAGTGGTAACTCTTTGATTGGCCGCTTCCCCTTTCCTGAAAATTGTACCTTCGTGTATTCAATATAAGGAAGTAAAAATGAAAAAGAAAGAAAAACATGTTAGCGTCTCTCTGGATCTTTTAGAGATTGAGCTCGTGCAGCAGTATTTCTGCGATGGTGGCAATGTCCACAGCAATCTTATCAACTACTGTGATGAAGTTCCTGAACTTATTCTGGGTACCACATGCATATATCTAGATTGATACCGAGTCTTGGTATCCATCACCTTTCCTATTGCTGTTGGTGAGGCTACTTTTTGAGCAGTATCCTGATGAAAAGAACGTTTCAGTGAATAACTGCATTGTATGAAGACAGCGAGAATGCGAACTAAAATCATTAAAAGCTCTGTTTAACCGTTTTGAACTTGTTTTATCTCATCACTGACCTAAATGATGATCACAAGTAGAATGTTAGCATTCTACTAGTCACCTGACCCGACAATTTCACTTTGTTCCCTTTTCCCTAGTTTTCCGTAAGATGAACTTTGTCGATTAAATTAAACTAACTCTTCTGCTACTTCATTGGAAACAGTGTTTTTACGTACAAAGATTAGCAGTTGAATTTGTAATTCTATCAAATAGGTAGTTTATCTGTTCACTCGTTTATTTTCAACTTTTGATATATTCTCCAATCGTTTATTTTCATCCCGGAAGGTCAAACCGAATTAAAATAATTCCCCAAAAGCTCGGTTATTACATGAATAATCTCTTGTCCGTAGCTGTATCCTTGATTCTGCGAAAGATGTCAAGAAAGTCAAATTTCTTTATAGGAATAATAATTGTATTAATAATCACTTTCCTTCATTTTGTATTTACACACACATGCTAACCGGGAACCTAATGTTGCGTCATCTTTGGACAAGAAAACATCTCACATTTATCCTTGTCTTCCAGAGCGAGATAAATGCAGAAATGTAGAAAAAGAATATACACTTCTGTTTATTCTTCTTACTTGTCCCTGTAAAAACAAAAACGACGATGTGTTTCACGCCATCATTCAAAAAATACAGCGCTAAAAGACGGGTACTGTAGATTAATACATTTAGTCGTTGAGCATCCTAAAAAGAAACTACAGAGCACCAATTTATCATGTTTTAACCGATCTGAGTAATATATGTACGCTCGGTACGATCAAAACGCAAGACGTTCCTTTAGTTGCATTGTCTGGACCATCCGGCTGATACTACTCACAGCTTTTTTACCGACTTCAGCTGAACACGCTTTAGCATAGTCACACCTAAACTCACACATACACACACACACGCATACAAACGTAAACGCACATGCCCGCGTGAATGTACACATGTTCATTGAATGATACACATCTGAAACGCCCGGTCTTATTGAGGCGTTTAAAGCACCCGCCCCCTTAAGCCACTATTCTGCATTTTCGTTCTCCTACCATATCACTCGATCGTCATGACAACGATAAGTTTCATGCAATGTGGTCAATGATTTGTCTTCTGCTTTTGTGTCCCCTGTATCGTTTCTATTGTTTTCTCTGAAAAATGGTCCAATGGGTCATTGGATTTCGTTGTGCGTGTACGTGTTCGATTGTAAAGTTTGAAATGCATAAACCTATATAAATTGTACACAACATTGTAGTACTGCTCCATAAACTGGAAGGAGATTTCAACGTCAGTTGCTCAATCCCGTAATGTCGGTTCTATTCAGCAGTGGCAAAAAGTCCGCTGCAGTCGTTCGTGGAACGCTGAAGAAGAAATCGTCACAAGGGTAGGTTTCTTACAAGAACATTTTTCCGGTAAACAGTAAAAATCGTATGTCCTGTTTGACTGCTTGCGGTATTGATCACTGAAACAAAAATTTGATTATCTTTATTCAGTTTGATTCCAGTTTCATTTTATCCACATTTTCACCACAGTGCATGTCACCGGCACTACAAATAGTGTATGGGTAAGCTTCGGATTTTGGATCGTTCACTCTTTGTCACTTTCAATCGTGTCTTGTTCACTGGTAACCCTTGCGTGTCTGTCTCGATCTTCGGAAAGGTTCACCATTTGTGTTCAAAACAGCAAATTTTGTTGAGTGTATATATATATATTTGTCAAATTCATGTTCAAAACTGCTAGTTCGTGAACACCATTTTCCAATTGATATTTTTTACATTATCATTATTAATTGAATAATCGTATATCGCTTTTACCATTTAACTCTGCCCTGGGCAGATACTAGCTGTTAAATTGGCGTCATAACGGTTATTCAAAAAATTATTGTGCAACTTTTCCTAGCATACAATCATGCATTCGTCACTGTGTTGACCATTTTCAGCACCAAATTGCATTCTTCAAGCTGGGTCGTTTGTTTGCTATTTCAAATCACGAATCAATCACAATTGTCTGTAATCTGAGTGTTTTGTATCCTTAACATTAATAAAATCATTCATCATAACGTGACAATAATATATATTCTTAAGTATGAAGTTGAATTCTAAACATTTTGCTGTTTTCTTTAAATTTTAAGGTGGCCTTTTGATTGACCGCTTACTCCCTTCGGAAACTTACTTGTACAATAATATTTAATTGAACAATGAAATTACAAAACAAAAATCAGAAAGCACTACAGCCAAGGGATGAGTGGTATTGACTCCTCCCTCCGCAATAGTTTGTCACTCAACTGGTGCGAAAATTCTTTCAGAGGTCAGAGCAGTTTACTAGTTTTACTTACTCCTCGGAACCCCTTATATTTTTCATTAGCGTACAAAGACTGTTCACGGGGTCAACTTAAAAACCAGCAAGTGAGAGAAGCATGTACGACGATTGTCTACCGTTTTATTGCCAGTTTAATAATTCAGATTTATTTTTGTTGACCGATGATGCTAAAATAATAATGACAGATGAATATTTAATCAATTAGCACCAACAAAATGCTAAACTCACTCCTATTGTGGGATGCAGGTAGGCATACTCCCACCGCAGATGTAACTAGGTGTGAAAAGCACTTGACTCATCTGATATACGAATCCACAGGCAAAACAGACCATGTCTTTCCCTTGGTGTCAATCCGTTCAGTCAAGGATTCACTTACTCCAAGCGAACCAAAGCATTTGAAACTTTGTAAAAGTCAGTGGGGAAACACCAACAAAATGTAGTGGTATCAACGGTCTCCCCCTTTGGGACTGGTTACATACGTGTGCATAGTTTGGGGGTCGAAACCCAACTGATGGTCATTAAGCGGAAGCTTCATGAAGAGATGGCTTTACTTGAACTGTTCAAGGAATCAAACCAATATCCGGGACCTTATACTGTGTTACTGTGTGCATCATTATTCAGAACTCGTCGTTTGCCATCACAAACAAACACAAATTTCCCTTAGAAGACCCCACACGTTCAACAAAATTGATGAGCTTATGAGTTTTTCTTCATTGTTTAAAAAATTAAAAGTTTTACGTCCAGGTGCTCAAAAAGCCTCTCTGTGGGCAATCTGGTAAGCACACTAATCAAATCCGTCCATGTTAACTAAGCTTTTGATTTTTGCCCATGTTTTCAACGCCTTAGAATGTTCCACAACTACCAATACCACGGATTGTTTGCTCTCCGTTGATGGATCGTCGCTCATCACCGTCACCCTCATAACCATTAATGGAAGTATGGTTGTGCAGCATGCCACACAATGAATTTGAAGAAATTCACCGAGAGAAAATTGGGACAAGTTGATCAACACCCGGAATTCTTTGTTTTCCAACCCCATCTTTCTGAATGCCAGTAGTGAACTAACATTGGGTCTGTTATCAGCTCTCTTCGCTTTTGCAGAATCAATTGAGTAGTTAGAAGTGGTCAGAGAACCGTATGCAGAAAGTTTCAAGATTTTCCAGTCGACATTTACTAATACCATTGATCACCTAATTTCCACATTATTTTATTTTATTATCTCGTGTGGTGCAACTATTGCACACAACATGCCTTCGTTGTTTATTCACATATTTTGCTTTGCAGTTGTTACCGTAAAAGTCATGTTCTCGATACCAAAGCCTGGAACTTTAATTCCTCTCTCACTCTTTGTTTATCACAATTTTTCTTTTCAGCTCCGATACACAACTCCCGACAAATAGCTACATGCCGTCGGTCAATGTGTGCGTTTGGAACCTGACACTGGAGAATACTCCCATAAGTCTGGCCTACTGTAAGTGACCAACGATGGTGACTAACTGTCAAATAATGTTTTCCAGCTCGTATTAAATCTGGTGCCTTCGTTGAGTTCACGTACAGTCGTCAAAATGGTTTCTATGCCCTTTACATTCACGTAGAAAGTCACTGTTTTTAGTACAACAAAACCCATCCATAATAAGTTGAATTGTATGCGTCTAATTGATCCAACCAATGTCAGACTGTTAAACTTAGAGCCAACTTAACCATACTTGTCCAGTTTTACTATCGTTTGAGAGTCTGGTAAATAAAACACGATTGATTGATCGTTTGCGCAGGTGGAATAATACAAAGAAATACCTCGCCGATACCGGCAAGGAAAAGCACTCTTTCGTGAGTACTAGTGGATTTTTTCCCTCAAGATCATTGACTGATTGACGATAACTATTAAACTCCCCAGCCGTAGGAAATTAAACCTGTCAACTACATAAACAGATCAATCTGCATTCCAACACCCAACATATAAGAGTGATTTGCTCGTTGTTTTTAATTGGCTATCTAAGGATTTTCATAGTTCATTTCTCTGTACGTCATTTAGACATAGACCTGGTGACAAGTTTCGTAGATAATAACACAAAAACTCCACTTCTTCCGAATGAAATAGTACTTTTTACAAACTTGAGAAATGTTATCCTAATCGGTTAGCTAACTAACATTTAGATTTAGTTTAGCTGTCTTCAAATATTTGGATCTTATGCACAACTCTCATAACAAGCTAGTAATGATTACTATAGTAACCGACTTCTGCTGGCCCGTGTAGAAAACACAGACCAACTATTGTTCCACTTCGTTTGTCTGCTTAATACGTTATGCCGTTTAAGGTCGTGTTAGTAGATCTCCACGACAACGTTCTGAACTCGTCATGGATGAAGCTGCCCTAGGTTGGCTTAACGATCGCAAATCGAAACAACAGCAGACAAATTCCGAAACCCCATTGGAAATTCACTAGGATTGTATCTTATCCTGACCACTAGTGTCTTCGTTCTGATCGTTCAGTTCAGTAACAAACTCGAGGCGTGCACTTTACTACCCTCGTTTCCAACGTTTTCTATAAAAGATTACGGATCAAAGCAGGCTGAGGACAATACAGGGCGCTAATTAAACTGATAAGACATTTCAGGTTAAACAGAAGGGAAACAGGGTACAAAGCGAGCCGATATTAACCTTGTGTCGCATCTTATGTGATTGTTTCATTGTGTTTACATTGTATTTTGATGATCCAATGTTCTATGAAAGCATGTGGTTAAATGTCGATCCAAAGTTGAATACTAATCATCCAGTAAAAAACAAAAATCTATTGAATGGTTGATAGTGTAACGGAACAAAGTAGAACATTTATTATGCTGGCGCAATTGTATAAGACACGAGCCAGATGCCAGACGCGATACCTCTGATGAACGATTATCTCTGAAAAGATAATTTGAAATTCGAAAGCCCAGACAAGGTGTAATCAACAAACAATAAACCATTACACTTTACACGAGAATTTATTCATAAACAGAGCTAAAATTGGTTTGTTGAGGATTATATAAATATTTGTGATAACCGACAAAGAGCACTGGATTATGGAAATACCCTAAACTATAAAATAACAGATGACACGTTTTCTCAATACACATTTCATTGAGTTTCGCTCATTCGAACTCCCAGATGATGATCACTGTGGATGTAAAATAAATGACAACTAGACAATATGCGCTAATATAAAAAGGAATATGGGAAGAAGACGATACACTGAAGTAGGTCACAGAGGAGTTAGTCACTCGCTCTTGTAGTGCCTTCACTATCAACGACTCACCGTTTTGCGTAATTTTTAGTCGCCACTAGTGCAGAACTGAGTCATACGTTTCCCAGTCGACTGTGACGCTGAGTTAAAGTCACCTGAATTCACAAAGAACGAATTCTGTTTCAGGTATTCCTGTCTTTGAGGTGCACGTTTCAATCTTTGCGGGATATTTTATATCCCACTTAAAAAAGATTTGCGTAATTTTTCATTTGTCGAACTTACATAAAAATCATTTTCTTCATGAAGACATGCTACCAATAGTGGACCAATAGTTTATTAACCGAACCAGCAACTTAGGGTGATAACTAAACGACTCAGATTTATATAGAGTACGGGAAAACAACTCAATAGATTTAATTGAATGCGTATCTACTAGTTAGATCGATCAAATTCATTCTAATTGTTAGCACTGCGTAGACCAACAGTACTCAAAAAGCCCCAATTCATTTTCACACGCACACACACACACCACTGTTTCACAACGAGTCCTGGTCCGGGTGGAAAAGTTACAACACATAACATTACAAAGCACCCGTCTTTTTCGTTTCACTGTTTACACATATATGTAGTTAATAAAATAGTTTGAACCGCTTAGCGGTCAGTTAAGAGACAATAAATTGACAGTTTCTGCCACTGTGTACTTTTTATTTTTAGGCAAAGATTCGGCTTCGATATGGATGGGCGATGAACTGATACGAACCAAAGTGAGCCTTTCAGCGACTGTATTGACTCTGTGTTCACTACATTACTGCTTTTGCATACGCCAAATTGATTGCATCGTTGTTCAGTTGGTTTTACTGGTCTATAAGGTACAAGCAGAGCGAAAACGTTAACCGCAATAAATGGAATTCTAATTCGATCTATTTTCTGTTTAAAGTGATCGTTTAACTGAACTGGTAATCGTTTTCATCTAGCCTATTTAACTTACTATTGAAAGGCATCTATGTGTTCAGCTGTCTAAGGTTATTGTATCAATCCCTTAGCCCACGCTTATGCAAAACATTATTTTTGTGTTCTTTCATCATAGAACACATGCTCTGGTTTTGTTTGTGTCGAACTAGCTACGCACGCACTGATTTGATACCTCTTAGTTACGGTTGGGAAATGCACTTCTGATGGATAAACTTTTCGGCAGCTGGATTTAGATCTACTGAATGGGGTCACTTGCGAAGCATACAACATTTAGATGTGGTAGACAATTTTGGTCTGCGGCTAGCAGTGTATGCTTTTGACCGGTGCCCACTACTACCACGATGCCTATAAATTTCATATTAGATATTTTACTGATCATTTTTCTAATAGGTGATCGTTAAAATAATTTTCAGAAAGTGGTTGAAGGACAGTTAAGGGGTTGTCTTATACTTTAAAGGAAAGCAATAAAGCTCAGCAGTGGTGGTGGTGGGTTCGGTTAGATGAAATCACTCGGTAATCTGGTGATGACTAACACTGTTCTAATATGTTCAAATGATCTCTTTGGACTACGAATAGAGGAGTCTATTATCGTAATTTAGAATACATTGCCTTTCTGCCCAAGTCAAGGAATAGATTCAATCATTACTACCGGTGTTATCAGATGTAAACACCAATAGAGCCCCATGCAAATCATTTGATCCTTTCAGAATTATACCACAAATAGTAATTCGGGCTTGAACCACACTCGTTCATGTGCTATAGATCACAAGTGGTCCGAAATTTGCGCTCTATCCTTGTCAGTAGCTGCAATCGAATTCTCATTAAGTAAGGCGTATGAGTGAAATTTCAAAACATACCCGGGATAAATTTCAACTATTATTCTGTCCTGGAAAATTATCGATCATCAGTGATTCATTTTTTCATTTTGATTCATTTTTATCACACTAGTGCAGTTCTCCAATGAATTAGACCGGGAAAACGATAGCCTTGTGGTTATATAGCTTGCACGTAGATAAAGGACTAACGTTTTTGGCTGCCGTCACATTGTAATGGAAGGTGATACAAAGAGAGTCCCGGCTGGCGAAGGAATCAAGAATAGGGCCAATCCAAGTAGGTACGCAGACGTAGCGGCT